AACAAAGACAGTCCTTAACAAAGAAACTTGAAAATGAGTGACTTCAACAGCCTCAGTTGGCTACTAGAGACGTTCTAAGTCCTGCAGTCCCATTGTGGGGGGAGGTCAGATGTGCAGGCATTCCCTCCCCTGAGGGAATCAGTTGCCAGACTGCTGTCTCATCCCTCCACAGGGGTGGGCCTGCTCCCTACCTCTGGGGACAATGGACAGGTTCCTGTAGGAGGGGTTTGCACCCTACTGATAATGTTCCTATGGAGACCCAGAGACCAATCCCTAGACCACCCACTCATTGCTGTGTAACCTATAGTGCAGCCCCTTCCTGTGACGTATGTCTTTACCTGTAATTAGTGGGCTGGATTGCCCCCAAAAGGTATATAGGTGTGAGTCAGCAGGACTTCTCTCTCGGACTCTGAGCTCCTTGCTGCTCACTCCCTGGTCACTCCCCTCTCCCTTGTTCCCTTCCCCTCCTTCCCTTCCCCCTCTCTCCACGTGGACCACCAAGCTGGGCTGAGGTGAGCAATGTTGCTATGTATCATGCCTGACTGTATTATTATATTATCTCTCATGCTCTCGATGACTTTAATATAATACTTATATATCTCAACCGTACAATTGTGCATTACTGAACCCAGAAGTAGTATTACTGAACTAGTAGGAGTAGCAGCGGGTGGGGGCTGGCCCCTTCACCCCTCCATCAGCGTCACTTATTTTTTTTATTTAATACTACATCCCATGGCTTCAGAAGGCTCAATCTGATTTTCCCAGGATTGATTTATGAATCACAATTCCTGAAGAAGGGTGTTGTCTAGCTTTGAAGTACCAACAAGATCAACTCAGTGAAGTTCATTCAAGCTAGTAGAGATAAGCCAATGGATTGACGATGCTTTGGAGTTAGTGTAGTGTCAGGAGAGTGCTAGTGAACACTGGGATACTGTTTTCAGTCTCCGGAGAGTCTCAAGGTCAAGAGCAGAATCAAAAATCTGGGTCATGCAATTTTTTTGGTCATCTGAGTTCAGTGAGAATGGAGCTCTGAATCACTGTTGTATACAGCTATCTTGAGTCATCACTTTCTACTCTTCACTAAACACATTTAGGGAAGAAACAAAAAACTCATATCTCCTAAGTACAAATATCATAGGATGGGAAAAACAGAGAACAGTTGAAAAACAATGAAAAAAATTGCCTAAGAGACTCGTTATTAAGCACAATAAACTAAAAAAAACTAAGGTTAAATAAAGAAGATAATTTGGCAATATGGGTGATACTAAAGAACTATTTTTATTGACGCAAATAAAAACTTCAGTTGATTATAGTTCTTCTGCATGCCAAATCTGAACAGTAAAGTACACAAATTTAAAGACAAAGTATTTCAATAATTGAATGGCTGAAATTAAACATTGGTTATTTCTTTTCTTAAAATGCATTTCTATGGAGAATTTCATTCTTTTGTGGGAAACTCAAGAATTACACAAAGATCCTTTGTCTGCAGAATGCTATGGTGACAAGTGACTGGCCAAAATTTTCTTAGTTTGCAGTATTTCAGTACTTAGAATATTGTTGGAAACAAGTGGGCAGTTGCCTAGGCTATGATACACTTTTGTGTGTGCAAATATTGAACTATTTGTGTTTATTACATTGTGGTGCAATTGGACTCTACACATACAGTAGAAAAATTAACAAATGGTGATTGGAAGAAACATATTCACTGTTTATTTGCAGTTGAAATTATAGTTTGACAATGAGATCTAGGAGACTAATGTTTTCCAAGGTGGGTGATACCGCTCCCTGGGGGGAGGTGCTAGAATGATCCAGGAAGCAGCAAAAGCACATGCCTACATTTTATCCTGGATTATGGGTTATAGTAACAAAGCTTTTCATTGCCAGGAGTAGGGAGAGCAATACTTTTCGAAAAGGGGGCATTAGGCAGCAACCTCTGGGCAGTGGTAAATTCAATGTATAATAAATGGTCTTCCAAAGTGAGTGCATAAGCAAATGTGGCGAAGAAAGCTGATGGTGCCCGGCTATCAAAAGATATAGCATCTGGGGTCTTAAAGGCTTGAAGGTAAACAAGCGGCCATCTAGCTCAGAAGCAACAAAGCCCACATGGAAGAAGCACACCAGCCTGTGCGATCACGAGGTGTCAAAGGGATCAGGTATCAGGCATCATCAGAACAAAAAATCATACCATTGTGAATGAGGAGGAGTGCGGAGTAGAGAACCAAAGCCCATTTGTAGGCCACTGGACATCCCCTTATGGAAGGGTCACGGGGAGGAGACAGCCAGTCAGGGTGTAGTGTAGCAACGATGAAACATACAACTTTCTTCTAGTTCCTAAATGCTTCCTGCACCCCCTCCCCCCACTATCATGATCTGAATTCTACCTTGCAAGTCTGGCTAGACCAGAGGATGTACACTGGTACAGACAGGAACTGGAAACACAGCGAATCCAGGGTGGATGATCCCTTCAGGAACACTGGTGAGAGTGCGATACCAGCAGGGTGGAGGGAGGGTGGGGTGGAAAGGGGGAACCGATGACAAGGATCTATATGTAACCTCCTCCCTGGGGGATAGACAACAGAAAAGTGGGTGAAGGGAGAAGCAGGACAGTGCAATAGATGACAAAATAATAATTTTTAAATTATCAAGGGTTCATGAGGGAGGGCAGAGCGGGGAGGGAGGGGTAAATAAGGAGCTGATGCCAGGGGCTTAAGAGGAGAGCAAATATTTTGAGAATGATGAGGGCAATGAATGTACAAATGTGCTTTACACAATTAATGTATGTATGGATTGTGATAAGAGTTGTATGAGCCCCTAATAAAATGATTTTAAAAAATGCTTTCATCAAGCACTTTTATAATGCCAGCTACTATGCCAGGTATTTTTATATCAACAATTGCATTTGACCATCCATTATTAAAGCCTTGAAATATAATAAGTGGTCTTCATAATTAATGGTCATAACAATTATCTTTCTTATGAAGGCATTCATTGGAGCACATCCATTTTAGGTCACAAATACACAATATTCATTTCAAAATGGATATTAAAATTGTTGTGTCTTTTGAGACCACAGCAGGAACAATATTCCAAGGGTGTGTAAGTAACAAGTGCTTATGCAATAAATGTTGCCTTGGTCTTTCCTCGGGGTTTCGAAACTGCCCTAAGGTCAGTCAGAATATAGTGTACTCCATTTGAACCAGCTACACAAATGTTGTTTTAAGTACTTGACATGATCAACAAAAATAATCTCTTAACATTGTGTCTTCATTTTGATTCCCCAGCTGTCTTCAACTCTGAAGAAGTCTTGAAAACCAAATACGCAACCAACCAAAAGAAGCATGAAGTACACGTACACACACACACACACACACACACACTTAACTTTGGCTAGTCCAGTGGCTCAATAGAGAGATGCAACTCCTTTCATGACTCCTCAGCCTGGGTAATTTAACATTAATTTAGAGGTAAATTGTAGATGAAAGAACATAGAAGAGGGCTTCAAAAAGTTCATGGAAGGATGGAACAATTTCTCCCCAAGCTTTCTGAAGCTCCCTTGCATGCTCTAAAGCAGGGGTGTCAAACTGGCAGCCAGTGGGCTGCATGTGACCCCCAAGGTAATTTTTTGTGGCCCACGATGCTCTGAAATAAAATGAAAATAGGAAAAACTGTTATGAAGAAAATGGCACTTAGGGGAGATCAAGGCAATACCATACACACAATTCCCTCATTACATTTTATTTCAAAGCATTGTGGGCCACAAAAAATTACCTCAGGGTCCGCAGGCCGCCAGTTTGAAACCCTGCTCTAAAGGCATGATTTCCATTTGAAGCCTGACTCTTGCAGGTGTGTGTGGTGAGGCATGGTACTTAAACTCCTTATCTATAAAACGGGGATAAGGCCTTAAAGAGTTTGTGAATATTAAAATGGGATCAGGAAAGCAATTTGTTCAATTTTGTTTCCTTCCCTGTCAAGTCAATATTGCTCCAACTGCATGAAATAAGCTATTTTGAAAATTAGGAAAAGGTACATGGGAACTGACTTCAAGTAGGCATGCAGTCACCACATAACCCCGTCGGATTTGGTCTTTCTGGGTGTTGGTTAGTTCTAGAAAGCAGTTCTTTGCTAATAATTCATTTTCTTTCTGAAAGCAGAAAGAAACTATTAGAATACACCGCGAATGACCCAACATTCAGTTGAGTGATGCAAATTTGGCACTCCAGCGAATGCTTCCAATGGCTGTAACTTCCAATGTAACTAGTCATTCGCCAGGGAGGAGGAGAAGGGAGATTGACCTTGATTAACCTTGTTACCTTCAACACAGTGGTTCTCACCTGGGGAGCTTTTTTTACCATCTACCCAACCCACACTTCAAACCAATTATACCAGAATTCCTGAGGGTGGGACCCAGGCACCTGTGTATTTTGAAGAAGTCTCAAACTGACCCAAGATGCCGCCAAGGATGATTACCTGTCCTGACCTCATGTAGCTTCCGCAGTAAAGAGAGCGCCAAACTTAAAACTCTTCGGAAACACAATTTCAGAGTCGAGAAGGTACAACAAAGGTATAAGATCAGCCTTCTCCCGGGTCCCCGCAGAAGGCTGAAGAGCTAGAATTTACCAAGTAGCGGCTTACCTAGCTTCATAAGGGAGAGCCCCCTTTTTCGAACAGTCTTCACCTGAACAAAATTAAGCTCACTGATCTTAGAAGAGGCCATGCACTCTTACGTGTGTCTATTAAGATTTTTTTTTTCTTTCTCCCCAAAGGCAAATTTTTTAGGTGGGGGGTATACACGGGTGCTTACCCCCAACAGAAAGCTCGTAGACAAACACCCAGAACCATGCAATTCCCGTGGCCGCCTAGAAACCCTACCTTCCAGGTCTTCCCCCCACCCAGACCCCACTTCTAGCCCCAGGCCAATGGGTGACGGCGGGCCTGCAGTCACTGCACCTGCTGGCGCGCTCAGCAGCACCTGCCGCACCGCGCCCTCCCCATCCCCCTACCTTCCAGAAGCTCCTCCAGGCTGGTGACCTTCCTGCTGCCATCCATGGTGTAGATGGTGCGGACGCCCTGGGGCAGGTTCACATTGTCGGACAGCGAGCGGGTGAGCTCCATCAGGAGCGCGTCGAAGGACCGGAAGCGGTCGCTGGAGATGGCAAACACCAGGCCCTTGAAGTAGCGGTCCCCATTCCGGTAGAAGCGCGCCTTCTTGGCCTTCTTCTCGGAGCTGAGGGCCTGCAGGGTCCGCGTGCGGTAGAAGCTGCAGTGGGCACTGTGCGCCGGGCTGGGGATGAGCCCGTTGCCCTTGGGGCCCGAGCTGCTGCTGCCCCCGGAGGAGCTGGGCGCCCCTCTCCGTGGCCCCGGCCGCGGCCTTTTGTCCCGTTCCTCAAAGTGCTCTAGCTCGATACTCCTGGCGCTGGCCATGGCGCCGGCGCCGGGGGGCCCCACACAGCGCGGTCGTGGGCAAGCCTGCTGGCAGCCCCGCGTCACAGCCACAGCGGCGCGCGGACGTGGGACCGAGGAGCCCTAGAGCGCAGGGCCACCTGGCCGTGGCATTCCGCCCCCTCCTCGCAGGTGCGGCCGCAGAGCCGCCGGCTAAAGGTGGCCGCCGCGTCCAGCCGCCCCGCTCATTGTCCAGCGCGGCTCGCTCCGCGCCTCGCGCCTGCCGGGGAGTCCCACGCCCCCCAGAGCGCCTCCTCCGTCAGCCACGCCTCACAAGTCGCGCTCCGCGCGCCGCAA